CCAGTGACTGGGGAAATGGGGGTAGGTGTGTTAGAGACAGCGAAGTTGACTCAGGATAGAGCAGGGTTCAGAGCTGTTGTACATAGGGTCGCTATGAGTCGTAAGTTACTTGAAGTACATAACAACAGCAACAACAACATCTGTCTAGTAAAGCACCAGGGAGCTCTGGTGACCTAGCTGATAGAGAGTGGCACTGTCAACCCAAAGGTGGCCAGTTGGAATTCACCAGCTGGTCGATGGAAGGATGGGCTATCTCCTATCATGTGATTTAGAGCCTCTTAAAACACTCTGGAAGGTCAGATATGAGTCGGTTCTGACTCGGCAGCGATGAGCTGCTGTTACGAAGAAAGGACTCATCTATTTAACCTCTCTACTGGCCTCTGTTGAAACTCATTCCTCTGCTACTGAGGTGTTTCCACCTTATAGTGACCCTTCATGGGGTTTCTCGGGTTATAAATCATAATGGGTTGAGATTGCCTATCTTTGTCTCATGGAGATGCTGGTAGATTCAAACCGGCAGAGTTCAACTCTTTAGGTTAACAGTAAAGGGGGGGGATTGTATACCAATGAAGGAATTTTTCTTTTACTTTTCAAAGAGAAGAGCGAACTGGGGGTGGGTGGGGAGAAAAATGCAACAATGAATGAATGGAAATCCAAAAATCTCTGTAAATGTTCATTGAAATGAATTTTAAAAAAAGTTTCACAAAAATTAAAAAAAAAAAACAACAACACAAACCAATATCAAACTCATTGCAGACAAAACTACCAGTGCTCAATTGGGTTTCTATTACATTTATAAAACATGGATCCCCAGACTCTTTGCTTTCAAAGCTCTGCCCGTCATTTGTGGTTGGCCATTCACCTTGAGGAGTGCAACCACTGCCCCGAGTAAGAAGAGCTGGGTCCTGGGATAGGAAACCAAAAGTGTATCCTTCACTCCATAAGTGAGACTTCTGTATCTGGCAGTAAAAAGAGACTCTCTAAAATCCACACTCATGTTTTCAGAGTGGAAAACATGAAAAGATGGCCAAATGACTCACTGCCACTGTATTACTGTAGAAAGTGCCAAGGGAAGCACATGGGAAATAGCTGAGGCCTTGTACTCTCCCTTCTGGAAAAAACCTCTTTGATAAAAGCATAAGAACTTCAGGCTTGTAGGGTGCTTCCCCGTATTCGTAGGCATAGAAATTGCAACTAATCAAACATTCAAAGTCTGGTCAATTATTGAGACAACTGGGCCAGTGTGGCTTGAGTATCTGAAGGCTTATGTGCTTTAACACACGTTTTAGGTACTGCTGACGTCTGTCTTGTCGTGATTCTATGGATACACTATTGAACCTTTGTCCAATCCAGCTCCATCTTCCGCTGTAAGCGCCAAATCGCTGTCAGCTGAATGAGTGAATCTGTGTGTTTGCGGCTAGACCAGAAACGGTTTCTAGGAGAACTGATCATGTTAAAAGCAAACAATTTTTTAAAAAAAGAATGCCTTGAGTGGTTGGAATAGGTTTTGCTGATTATTTGGAAGGGAAAAGGCTCTGAGTTCCCAGACTTTTTAACTAGACACAGAGGCTCCCTTGGGGTCCTCATTTAGCAGGATAATCAGGACATTGTTAAGAGCGACTTCCTATCTAATAAGTGGTGGTTCCATTTCCATAATGCAATGTCTTAGGCAAAAATAGAACTTGGTAGATCATGAAGTGTGCCCCTTTCTGCCTCCCTGCCTCCTCCTGCTTGTCTCTTGCTCTCTTGTGATAGACTGTGTACCATCTCACTAATGGGTTTCCTGGCTCCATGGGATAAGCCCAGTCACGTGACTGCCAGTTTCTGCACGTCAGGGTCACCTTGTGAGTCCTGGGAGTGTTGGGAAGAAGGAACATGGTCATCTGCAGGCTCTAAGAGTATTAAGAAACTTGACCGTGGCTGCCATTATAAGGCTCTGTGTATTTACCAATCCTGTCCAAATTGACACCATAAAAGAGAATACAACTATGAGTTCAAGAGACACTCCCAGTAAGAGGTTAATTAACTGACAGATCATCTGCTTCCCTGGGAGCAGTTAACTCTGCCAATTTTCTCCCAGTTATCCTGTTTTCTCTCTCAAGAGTCCCACTTTGGAGCTATGAAGAAATAGAATGACTAAGCCATGGCAACAAGTGAGTAAAAGTCTTCTCCCACGTGATTAACTGCCTCTGAAAACCTGCTGGAGGGTCAGCTATGGGTTCGTTCCTACTTGATAGTAATGAAGTTTTCTTTTAATGATATAGACGTTTCCAATGTGTTAACTGTATCGGCTTTGTAGTAGCCATCTTATCTTCATGCTTTGACCAAACCCACTATGAAATCTGTATGTAAATCTCAGGTAATCACCTAAAGAGCTACCCTGAAAATGTACGGGATTGCAAAGTACCGCAATCCCTTATCCAGGGCTTGTTTCAGGTAGAAATGTCCAAAAGGGAGCCAAAACCCAAACACTAAGACCAGAGACCAGAAGAGGGACAGTGTGTGCATCTGGTTTCCAAAGGAAATAAAGAAAAAACCCAACACCAACCAATAGCAAAATATAGCAAGTGGAAATGGAAAAGGCCAACTGCCTTTGTCAACATTTAGGGAATGAACAAATGAAGGGAATGTGTTAATAGACTTTCTTTCCCATTAGGTTCATGCTCAAAGAAAAGATTAGTACCTTTTATGTGCAGGTATTTAGTTCTGATGACAGACTTAAGAGTAAAATGAGGTGGTGGAGGTGGGTGGGAAGGAAAATTGACTGTGTGGATTTTTCAAGGCATAGTGCGGTCAGGGAATGTAAAATGATTTTCATGTTCCTTTAAGATGTGTTACCATTTCCAGCTCCTACCGGTGAAGGCGTTCTGTCTTTTCACATCCATATTCATTGCCGAGATGAGCTTGTTCATGGTAAGCAAGTGGCTGTGAGTCATTGTATTGGAGCCGTTAGTCATACACTGAGAGGCTATGTGTAGTCTAGTTGATTAATCAGGAATTCTTCGTGAGAAAGGCCAGGGAGAATTTCACAGCAGATAGAGGGTTAAAGGCTTTTGGTGTATGACCCTGTAAAACTGCTCTTTGGGGACACACACACACACACACACACACACTTACTTGCAAATACATGGGTGTGTACTTTTATACCGCTAAAGTAAGAACTGGCAGCTTTCAGAGTAGCAGTCATCAAAAACATACTGTGGTCACACACATTTACAAGTGAACAATGGAATGGCTTCTAAATCTTTGGTTTATCAAACAAGGAGAACTTCTAAAATCACAACGTTTATGATTACCTTTTTCTATAAGTGCACAGTGAACAACATTTTCTTTTTACAAAAGAGGAAAAACAGTGCCTTAGTGATTTAAATAAAAAAAAAAATAGAAACCAAACAACAGCTACTTTCTACAGCATGCAACACTCTAAGACGGTGATTCGAGCTACCGTGAGCCTCAAGAGACAGTGGTACTATTTGCCTCTCTCAGTTCCTAGGCAAGGCCTGGGAGGGGTTGAGGGAAGCATGTAAGACCACCGTCTCTCGTCTTTCCATTGTTTTCAGTGTGCAATTGTGTTTTCTTGCAGAAACCAAGACCTGAAATACTCTCTCCCATAAATATCACCCATGTTTATTTTTATGATATATTGATTTCCAATTTCCCCCAGAGTATCACAAATCAATCATTGCTACACAGCAAATGAAGGTGGAATGTGCTTTGCAACTCATGGCCAAGTCCCCAGAATTTCTTCTTAAGGAAATTCCTGTGACTGCATTTTGTAGCCAATGATGCATATGGAGATTGAGAAATCCAGGAGAACCTAGATTTTAATACTTTAGAAAATGATGCCCCCTCCCCCTGACCCCCAGATTGTACACCAGCTTGTTAGAACCCCTACCAATGTTGGGGCAGAAAAAGAAAAACAAAGAGCAAGAGAGGAATGATATCTTGAAAGACAAGTAGTGTGGGAAACCAGAAAAGGAAGTTGGACCTCTAAATAAAAGTCCCACTACAGTAGTCCATGGTATTTATTCCCATGATATATAAAACTATGCTCTCCTCTTGTCTGAATTTTCCCTGACATGGCTTCTAAGGTCCAGAGATATACTTCAGGTTTGCCTATGTGGTAGTCTTTGGAATTAGAAGTTGTGAAGAGAACCCCAAAGCATCTCTTTTAATGGCAGGAGTATCCCATGCTTAGGGGTTTTCCTTGTTCCACTGTGTTTAGCACCTTAGAGATAGCAGGAAGAATCCTATGGATTGAGAAAGGAGAAAGTTTTTCCACAAAGAAGGAAGTTTTTTCCTAGGATTTGTTTGGCTGTTATCAGCAAACACAGTGTCCTAGAAACAGGACTGGGACCACTTCAGTGGATAGATTTGTGCTTTAAGGATTTTGCTTTTCCAGGAATGAGCTGGTTCTGTCCTCATCTACGTCAAGAATTCCCTTATTGAAGCTATGTGTGGCTTCCATTTTGAGACTGATAATAGAGAGGAAGAGGAGCAGCCTACATCAAGGACATATATTTGATAACCTTTCTTGAATGGACAATTTCTATACTCTCAAAGGAATTGACATTTTCTTACTGCAGTGTGTCTAGTTGTTTCCATGAGAACAGTATATAGTGTGAGATTGTGTCCCAGCAATGCCTGAGAAAAATTATGGGTCAGAAGAACTACCAGTATTTTAGAAGGCAGTGGAAGCTATTTTTGGCATTCTTAGTCTGATAAAACACATTTTTCAATGAATTGCTGAAATTATTATCAGTCACTGAATTCAGTCACTGATAGATAGATATATCAACTAGACAGCAACTAACCACAACAAAATAGATATCCTATTTGTTCTTGTTGATTGTCACAGAAGTGTCTATTGGCTTATTTTTAATTCCCTTCTCTCTCTCTTTCTCTCTCATTTTGATAATGAAAGAATCCATATATCCATGGTTGTATGGGTTCCCCCATGGAATTCCTGTTGGTCCTCCTGACACTGTTCTAGTAGTGTTCTACCACTGTTGTAAATGAAGGTCCATGGGGGAATTCAAATTGAGATCTGTGACATCCAAGAAATCAATGTTAAAGATGCTGGGGCCGCTGGTGGCAAGTGAGCCAAAGCCGGACGTGGAGCTGGGAGGCGTCAGGTCCAGCCACTCCATGGTCTCCCAAGGAGATTCAGTGAAGCTCAATGGTAGCCCGTTGCTGTCCACAGAAGAGGGTGAAAACTGAGTCTGCATAGGGGAGAGGGGGCCTGGCAGGATCTCATGTGCATTGAAGAGGTCTTCTGCAGTCTTCCCAGAGAATCCATCCATGATCCCATCAAACTGAGGCTCCTCACTGCCAAGTCTTAGGAGGGCGACATCGCTCACCTTTCCTAAGGGGCTCTGGGAATTCAGTAAGACTTCAAGGTGCTCATCATTTTCTGTAGCATAGTGATCAAAAGAGAGCTGGCCACTTGTCGAAACTTGTTCAAAGGAAGCTGGAGGCTTGGGGAGGGCAGCACTGGGGCTCCGGGAGGGCCCAGGTATCTTTGGGACTTTCTGAAGACAGGAATGATCTCCTCTAGCATCAGCAGGCATTTCTGTTAGGAAAAATCCAAAGACAAGTGTGAGATCAGATCAAATACCACATGAGTCACATTGCGTCTCTTTGGAAGAATGAATTTATTCTTCTAAGGGCAGGAAGTAGTTACACTTCTGTGGTCATGCTGCCATTATCCAGAGTTTTGTTCCCAAACTGCCCATGGAGCCTCAATTCTTTCCTTCGTTTTTCCAAAAGACTTTTCCTTCTGGAAATTCTCTTGGATATTTTGGACTTTGGAGGATACTTTAATCTGCTGAGTACCCTGTATTCTCTGTTACACTTTCATGGGAGGCCTGCAAACTTCAGGGCTACAATGGGCTTGCTCTTTTTCCTTTGCCCCTTTCTGACGGCCCTTATGTGGCCTCCTTCACATACTCTTCATCTGTTTTCAGGCTCCTGCCACCCTCTCCACCCCTGCCTCTCTCTGCTCACCTACCCACCTCTGGATCACACCTTGGCATTATCTTAATTCTGTTTCTTATAAATACCCACAATTCCCCTTACCCTTGTTCCTTTCACCAATAGTTCTTTGACCATACCCCATCTGCTTTCTCTGAGTGTGCCCTAGGCCAGCTGGACAGTACAAGAAAATAATTGCCCAATGATGTCAATTAGTTTTGATCTAAATTAATGAGCTCCAATCCTATTATGTTTTTCTAGAAAACTCACTGATAATTCTTTTCTTTTTAGTGAAATTTTTTATTTTAATCTATTTTAATGAAAGTTTCCAGAAACATTGTTGCACATTTTGCCCGCCCTCCCTCGCTCCCCCTGCCCCAGTTTACCTTTTTTTTTTGTTTTAATGATATTTATTCATTATTGCACAATTATCTCCCTTCCCCCCCATCTCCCCAGTCCTCTTTGTAATTCAGGGCTATTGTCATACATATAATGCCTAGTCATATATTCCTCTTAAATAGTTTTTTCCTTCATCTGTTCCAATGCAGTGTTCATTATTTATCCCCTCTTTTCTCAGTTTCCCCCCAGCCCCGATGGCAATCTTATTTTTTAACAGTAATGTTATGCAGTATTTGTTCTTTTGTGACTGAGGTTTTTTCACTCAGCATAATATCCTCAAGGGTCAGCCATGATGTGTAATATTTTATGAATTCCTTGCTTTTCAGTGCTGTGCAGTATTCTATTATGTAAATATACCACATCTTTTCTATCTATTCATTTGTTGATGGGCACTTGCATTGCTTCCATCTCTTTGCTAGCGTGAATAATACTGCAATAAACATGGGTGTGCATTTATCTGTTTGGGTGGCAGCTTTGGTTTCTTTAGAGTATATTCCTGGTAGTGGAATTGCTGGGTCAAATGGTATTTCTATTTCCAATTTTTTGAGAAAGCCTCATACTGCCTTTCATAGTGGCTGCAGTTTTACACTCCCACCAGCAGTGCATAAGGGTTCCAATCTCTCTATAACCTCAGCCACATTTGTTGTTTGTTGCTCTGCTGAACTTTGCATTGTTACTGAGGTGAGATGATACCTCATAATTGTTGATACTTGATTCCTAATTGTGTTTCTTATCATTCATCTTGTACATTACCTTCCTGTATCCTGACTCATGCAAACTTTGTCATAGACATCATGAAATAAAAAAGGGCAATATATAACTCTGGTGGCCTAGTGGCAAGAAGCTGTAATATAATCTCAAAGAAAACAAGGGCATCTGATAGGAATTACCATTTTTCCATCACAAAACTTGAAAACTTCCTTACACTGTGCTAATCTTTTTCTTACCCTTTCTCACTACAATTTAACTGAGTTTTTCTCCTACCAAATAGTTTCCATCAAGGCAACATCAATTCATACAACTCTTGGTGTTACAGTAGAACTATGCTCCACAAGGTTTTGAATGGCTGAGTTTTGAGAAGTTAGGTCTTTCTTCCAAAGCGTTTCTAGGTGGACTCAAACCTCCAGCTTTTCTATTAGCTAGTGTTTTAACCATTTGCATCACCCAGAAACTCCATAAAGCTGGGTCTCTATTTGTGCAGCAATCTAACACCTCACCCTCTTTATCTGAGTTGTTTGCTGCCTCCTTCACTAAACTTATAAAAGTTATTGCTTAAAAATTTGGCCCTGATTTCTTTTTATCTGCATGTTCTTTCTAAACGCTAACATTCGTTTGTGTGGTTTTAAACTCCAGGTACACTCTTCATAATAAAAAAAAAAAACCCAACAGAAAAATTACTTAATAGGAAGCAAAAAGAGTATGTTTATCATTTTTGAGTGACATTTAGGGGCAATAATGGATTGCAATTCATTTTAAGTAGGTAGCACAAAGCTTTTACTATCTGCATTATCTTCTTATCTTAATTAGGAGACAGGGGCATTGTGATTGTCACAGCAAAGAGGAATGCTGTAGCAAGAGGAAGCATTTTGGGTGACAGGTTCTCAAGTGTTCACCTCTTAAAGGTACAGAGTAGGCTGGTGGATAAGAAGCGGACTGCCTTACCTCCACTTTCAATGAGGACATCCAATAGCTCGTCCATCTGCTGACTCCGAGTCATCTGCTGTAGAAAAAAACAAAAGGAGAGCAGAGATTGATGTCAGAGAGTGATGACTTCTTCTGTAAGGTATCAAAGTAGCACCGATAGGTTTTGAACTCCATTGGACTGACTTTTAGTAGGACCACTAATCAGATAAAAACAACTGAGTGGAGTAATCTACTCTAGCAAGAGAAGGGGGAATGCATGCAAAATGCTTTCCTGCACAAAGTGGCTCAGAATCAGTTCAGATACTTGAGAGATTTCCAGGCAAGGAGCAGGAGTCTTAACACACAAGGAGGAAGGATTCAGTGGTGCTTACAGACTATGATTAGAAAGAAAGGCCTAACTGCAATCCCAGAGTTTTGTGGTTCGAATCCACCAGATGCTCTCCTGGAGAAGGAGGGACAATCTCCTCCTGTCCCAGTCAGATCTGATTTGATGGTACATGCACACACACACACACACAAATAAAATAAAAAAAAGAAAGGCCTAGCAATTGGATTTCAAACAGAAAAAGAAACCAGCCAATGAACACTCGACCTCAATGGTCTGCTCCCGTTATGGATGGATGGGGTGATCAGGAGTTGGGGGCTGACTTGGTGGCATCTAGCAAGGGCTTGGATTCTGCCTGCCTCTTTGGTGGCTGTGGATGTGGCCCAGACACTTGTTTCCTATCTTCCTCCTCGAGTCCTCCTTCACAATGGCAGTGGAGCCTTGATGCTCTTAGAGCACAGCCACACTTCTCCACCCACCTCCCTCCCCCTTCTACTTCCTCCTGGCTCAATGGACTTGCTAAGTAGAGCCCATTTATAGAAGCCCACTTTATCAACCCCTTTCTTTTTCTTTAAAAATAGTGAAGGATTTTTTTATACCAGGGAAAGGGAATGGGTAGAAGAAAGGCATGTCTCGATTACACTCCCCAGAGTGCAGTCTCCATAAGGACAGACTTGGACAATTACCATTAATCAGAACACAGCTCACAGACTGAGTCAGTTGCAGTTCAGAAGGCAACCGATGTCTAAAGGACAGGGCAGGTATGTCAATGGGCCAAGTCTAGAGTAGGAACGAGGGGGCTGCAGAGCACATCTCTAGCTCAAAGAATCAGCAGACATTCTGCTTCAGACAATTAGCAGAAACGAGGTAGCTTAGTGGTAAGGAACTGTGCTGACAATGCAAAGTTATAACAGTTTGAATCTACTAGATACTTTATGGGAGAAAAAAGGATAATATTATTCTCCTGTGTGATTTATTGCCTCTGAAAACCTACGGGTCAGTTCTGGTTCGACCGTACACAATAACAACAACAATGCTCCTTTTTTAAGTTGTTATGTGTCATCAGGTTGGAACCAACTTATAGCTGATCCTCTCTCAGGTTTTCAGGGGGTGCAAATCGCACAGAAGGAGATTGCCCCTCTTTTTCCCACAGAGCAGTTGGTGGATTCGAACTGTGTGCCTTTGGGTCAGCAGTTAACTCCTTACCATTAACCTACCAGAGCTCTTTCCAGTGTTGCTAGGTCTCCTAATTTCATAAATATGAAAGCCCACATTTTCCAAGGGCAGTGCAGTTAATAAGCTCTGCTTTGGACAGGAAATTTGGTGGTTTGTACCCACTCAGAGGCGCTTTGAAAGAAAAGCCTGGCAATTCAATTGCAAAATGACAGCCTTTGAAAACAACATGGTACAGTTCTATACTGGCACACAGGAAATGTCCATGCGTCAGAATCAACTCAGTGGCAGCTGGTGATGGCAGTACTTTTTTCATAAAATACTCTCCTAATTAAGCTAAATGAAGCCCAAGTGTAGGCTGCTTTTGAACCACAGCATTCCAACGTTTAACAACTGAGATGTATGTTCTTTTCTAGGGTAAGCAAGAAGACTGCATATACAGAATTATCTGATAAGTTTGGGCATGTTGCCGGGAGGATCAGTCCTAGGAAAAGAAATCACGCATAGAAGGGTCGAGGGGCAGCACAGGAGAGGAAGACTCTCAATGAGATGGATTGATACAGTAACTCGTGTAATAGGGGTTCGTGTGTCAGAGAACACGAGACTGTCTCAGAGCTGTTGTACATTGGGGTCACTTTGAGTCACAGGCGACTCGATAGCGCATAACAACAACAACAACAACAAAAGTTACAGACTGCACGAAATCAAACACCACTGTAAAGCCATTGTTTTTGTGTTAGCTGATGGCATAACGATCACACCATGCGGTTACCTGCTTCACAGCATCCTCATAGGATGGAGGCTGTGTTATCTCCGAAACTGCTGAGCTGGACGTAGAAAAAGTTGGGGATGGAACTGAAAACTTTGGTCCCGTCTTATCAGAAGCGTGTAAACCAGCCATCTGTGTGTGGGAACATACAGACAAAAACAATCAATTATTCATGGGTCAGAAGTGGTGCTGCTTCTGTTTTAGAAACTAGAGGCAAAATTCTGGAAAAGTTCATTTGTTGTTTTTGGTGGTGTATCAAGTTGAGAATGGCGCATGGCAACCCCATGAACAAAAGATCTGAACCCTGTTCTATCCTGCGCTATCCTCATACTTCCTGACACACAAGAGCCCATTACAGCTGTCACCGTGTCAATCCACCTGGTTGAGGGTCTTCCTCTCCTTTGCTGACCCTCCCCTCTTCCCAGCATCATGTCCCCCTCCAAGGTATAGCCTCCCCTTAGAAACATGGCCAAAGTATGTGAGGTGAAGCCTCAACATTCTTCCCTCCAAAGAGTCCTCTTGCTGCACCCTCTCTGAGAAGACATATCTATTTGTTCTCTTGGCCATTCATAGGATGTTCAGTGCTCTTCTCCACCACCATTGCTCAAAGATATCAATTCTTCTTCTGTCATCCTTATTCATTATCCAGCGCTCAGATGCATAACAAGTAATTGGAAAGACCATGGTCTGAATCAGATGCATCTTGGTCCTCAAACTAACATCCTTGCTCCTCAATAAATTGGAGAGGTCCCTAACTGCAGATTTTCCTAGTGCAATGTGTCTCTTTATTTCCTGATTGCTGGTACCAAGGGTGTTAATTGTGGACCAAGCAAGATGAAGCTGTTGACAGTTTCAATCTCCTCTCTATCCATCATGGCGCTGACTTACTGGTCCAGAGTTAAGAATCTTTGTTTTCTTGACATTGAGATGCAATCCATTCTGAAGGCTGCATTCCTTGATCTTCTGCAATAAGTGCTTCAAATCCTCCTCACTTTCAACAAGGTTGTGTCATCTGCATAACACAGGTTTCTGATGAGTCTCCCTCCAATCCAACAACAACAAAATTACTCTTCAATTACTGGACACATTAGAGTTTGCACCTCACAGATTCATTTATCTTTTCTTGCTGGGCATCTGTCGAGTTGGAACTGACCCATAGCTGACCCTCCAGTGGGTTTTCAGAGGCAGGTAATCACACAGGAGGAGATTGTCCATCCTTCTCCCACAGAGCAGCTGGTGGATAACTGTGTCCTTTGAGATTGCAGTGAAGCTTCTTACCACTAGGCCACAAGAGCTCCCCACATTTATCTTTTATAATACCTTGTATTCTGTCAGAAGAGCAAGATGAGAAGATAAAATAAAACACAAAGGGCCAAATACGAAGACATATGTCAATCTGGAAAATTCCAGAGTATTTTATCTTCCAGGTACTTCCATTCCAAACTGTGTACGTTTGCACAGAGTGGGAGAGTGGGAGACATTGCTGGGGTTCCTCTTCCTGTACACACTTTCCTTGTCCTGAGCATGTTCTCTGACGGGAGAGTCCAGCCTTTTCAAGATCTCACTCCTATGGAAGAGGCACAGCGGTTCAGTGGCAGGATCCTCACCTCCCGAGCGGAAGACTTGGGTGCCATTCCTGAGCTGCAAATGCATTTCACATGCAGCCACCACCCATCTGTCAGTGGAGGCTTGTGTGTTGCTACAGTGCTGGAGTTTTCACCGAGTTTCTCGGCAAAGATGAATTAGGAAGAAAGTCCTGGCCATCTGTCCAAAAATCAGGCAGTGAAAGTCCAATGGATCACATCAGTCCAGTCTGCAACAGATCAGAAGGGCAGTGCAGGACCAAGAAGCATTTGATTCCACTGTGTCCAGTGCCACCATGAACTTGGTATTGACCAAGTCTCTCACATGGAAGATGAGCCATTGAAACGCCATTGTTTCATTTGACAAACGTATCATGCCAGGCTGCTATTGTTTGTTAGGAGTTCGTGAGTCAACTACAATTCACAGCAACCCTGTAAATAGTAGGTTGGAACTCTGCCCTATCCTGTACTGTCATGATCTCTGATATGTTCAAGTCCATTGTGAAAGTCACTATATCAATCCATCCTGTTGAAGGTCTTCCTCTCCTTTGCTGACTCACTACCCTTCCCAGTATGATGTCTTTGTCTAAGGACTGACACCTCCTGAGAACGTGCTTACATATATTACATGAAGTTTCACTATGCTTGCCTCTAAGGAGCACCCAGGTGTTCTTCCTTCAAGATACATTTGTTAGTTCTGTTGGTCGTCCATAGTAAACTCAATACTCTTTTATTTTCCTTTCTAAATCAGTTCATTTCCACTGGGCACAAATGTACATTCAATACTCTTTGCCAACACCACAGTTCAAAGGCATTGATTTTTCTATGGTCTTATTTATTTTCCAACTTTCAGATGCATAGGAAGCTATGGAAAATATTATGGCTTGGATCAGGCACACCTTAGCCTTTAAATGAATATCCTTGCTCTTTAGTAATTATATAGAGGTCTTTGACAGTTTTTCTCAACGTGACTTATCTTTTTAAACTGAGGAAGGCTTGCACCTCTTTCTGGAGAAGATCAAAGAATACAGCCTTTGCTATGGATTACATCTCAATATCAAGAAAACAAAAATTCTCACCAATGGATCAATAGGTAACACTTTGATTAATGGAAAAAAGACTGATACTGAAGTTGTCAAGGATTTAATTTTACTTGGCTCCACAATCAAGAGCTGCCAGAGCAGCTGTCAAGAAAAATGGTCATGTGATTTTTGAGATGATCTCAAGAAATTGCTCCTTATATTATCTTCCAACTTATCCCCCCCCCCATTTTAATCCATTTCTCTCATTACCATTGAGTCAGAATCAACTCATAGCTGACTCCCATTGGAGTTTTAGCGGTAACAAATTACACAGGAGGAGATTGCCCATCTTTTCCCTGCAAAACAGCCGGCAGATTCTGTCTGCCTTTGAATTGGCAGCACAACTCTACTCACTAGGCCCCCCCATCAGAGCCCCCTAATGCATTTCTAATGGACTTATTTCTCCCTCAAATGTAATCTAATTCTGCCTTTGAACTTCATTGCTTTGGAGGACAAGAGGCACACAGGTAATAGATGAACATAATATGAAGTTTGAGGTCTGTCCCCACGTGCCTACCTTTGGCTGGACTCCTGGACTTTGGGGGCAGGAGGTCTTCCCAGCACCATGACTGCTGTCTGCCTGGGCTCCAGGGAAAGGAGGGTGGAGGCTGGGAGGCTGCGGGGAGAAGTTTGGAGGATGGCCATCATGTGCTCCTGAGTTCTGTAAAGAGGGAAATGCGGCTCAGTTGCGTCGCCAGCAGCAGCACTCCTGAGAATGGCCTGAGCCCCATCCTAGGGGTTTATCACTTCCCAAACCAAACCGGGTGTGGCTGAGGGGCTCCCAAATTGTGGCATCTTACAGTGACAGTACAGCTGCGCTCCATGGTGCTTTCAAGAGCTAATCTTTTGGAAATAAATCACCAGGACTTTCTTCCTTGGTGTTTCTGAACGGATTAGTCTTTGAGTTAGCATCTAAATAGCACCACCCAAATATCTTCTTAAACCTCCCTCGATTCTACTGCTAGATGAATCTGCCAAAAATATGGCTCAGCTCTGCATGTACCTGCTCCTATATAAAATCTTTCAAAAGCTCCCACACATTCACAGCATGGGGTTCCCACTACTGACCAGGGTAAGAGCTCAAGGCGCTTCATAGTTTGGGGTGATGGCCTTCTCTCGACTTAAAATTCCAAAACTTCTCTCTCTGAAATTTTCATTCTAGACAAATCAGCCCTATGGATAGTTCTTCAACAGGCCCTGTGCTTTCTGCCATCTATTGTTATTCCGCCAGGACACCCACCTCCTGGGATAGCCTTTTCCTGCACTCTCCTTTTTAATAAAATGTTGAGGGAAAGGCAATATGCAGTAAAGAGCTGAGTGTCTCTCCCTTCACTGTCAAGTCTGAATCAATTCAAAGCTGATCCTCAGTGCATTTGCAGAGACTGAAAGTCACATGGGAGGAGACTGCCTCTCTTTTTCCCTTAGAGCAACTGATGGATTAGAACTGACCACCTTTAGGTTGACAGCACAACTCCCTCCCTTCTAAGCCACCATGTATGTGGTTGTGGTGGTACTATCAAGGTGGAACCGACCCATAGCTGACCCTCCAGTGGATTTTCAGAAACAGTAAATCTCAAGGAAGGAGAATGTCCATCCTTCTCCCATGGAGCAGCTGACAGATTCGAACTGCATGCCTTTGGGATCGCAGTGCAGTTTCTTACCACTAGGCCACAGACTTCACTCAAAAGTTGATTGTTGTGTTGTTGCTGATTGCCTTCAAGTCGAGCACGACTCATAGCGAGCAACCCCATGAACAAAAGGCCTGAAGCTCCCCTACAACTATGACATTTATCAAAGTTCATAGAGTTTCTAGAGGCCTGTAATTTAGGACGTGGATGCCACTCCTGTTTCCAAAAGCTGATTAGACAAAGGAAATAATTGTACTACACAAAAGGAATTAATGTTATAAAATATCTACGTGTAGTTATATAAAAAACCCAGTATGATCTGTTAACAGTCACTCAAACAAAAAAAAGATTAAAACCCGTGACTGTAGAGTTAATTCTGAATCATGATTCACAGAGTCTATGAGTGTCTGGGCAGATACCAAATGATGGTATTACTTCAGAAGTAGATAGTCAGGTCTTTTGTCCAAGATACCAGTAGGAAGATTCAAACCTGCAGCCCTTTGGTTATTAGCTATTTGCTTCCTAACTTGTACCATCCACAGACTCCTTCACAAAACATTCCTTGGCTTTTCTAGCCCTTCCTGATAGGCTGCCCCTCACCCCATCTCCTTTGTGTAGTATTTAATGTCATAAACACTGATTAGTCATCACTGGGGAGTGAATGAGTCCTCTAGAGTATGTGTTGACATCTTAACCTCTACAACCTGCAGATAGAAACCTACTGGGAGGTGAAATTTTTTTATTACATTAACAGATATATCCTGGAGAGGCTGCAGCCAGAGTGCTCTTTGGAGGCGAGAACGATGAAGCTTTGCCTCACATATTTTGGACATGTTGCTAGGAGTGGCTCTTCCTTGGAAAGGGACATGATGCTGGGAAGGGTGAAGGGTTAGCGAAGGAGAGGAAGACCCTCAACCAGGTGATTGACACAGCGGCTGCTGCAATGGGCTCTCACGCAGGAAGTGTGAGAATGGCGTAATATAGACCAGGGTTCAGATCTCTTGTTCATAGGGTCGCTATGAGTCATACTCGATTCAATGACACCTAACAACAACAACATTCTCGAGGGATGGATTTTACCTCTAATAATTTCTGAGTTATAAGAAGAGCAGATTAGGTACAAGCACACAGCCTGGGGAAGACGGATGCTGTTAGGATCACGAAGGAACCAAGAAACATTCTAATCCATCAGCTGCTCTATGAGAGGAAGAGTCTATCATAGAGTGTCCTCCCATAAAGATTTATGCCCTTGGAAATCTCATAGAGATTGAACATGATTTAACAGCAGTGAATTTTTCATAATGACCATGAAAGAATCAATACTGCTGCAATCCTGATGGAGACTTTCAGCTTCCAGGAGTGTGGGAAAAAGAAATTTCTGTTCTTTAAATTACTTACTTGTGGTATTTATATTACAGCAGCACTGGGAAGCTAAGACAGTGGCCTTATCTCATATTTGAAAATATTTTTTATGCCTATAATCATTTATGTCTACACAGGACTTTGTAAAATCTTAACTCATTGTATCTAGACTAAGGCCTCATGTTAGTGTCAGTCTTAGGAGACTCAAATGTCTTATGGTCCAGAGTTATGTCTCAAGAGCTATTTTTAATTTTGTTGCCTGGGACACCATGTACTTGATAAACATTTGTTAATGAGGATGAAAATCCATTTGATTCCTAATGCCTCCTAGAGTGAACCTTCCAGACACCATTCATTTGAATGCAGTAGGTTTGTAAAATTAATTCAATAGTCACACCTCATACGCTCAGGATGAAAATATTCAGTGTGGAAATGTGCACCCTGTGGAATCAGATAATTCTGGTTCACATGCTAACTCCAGAAGGATCCCAGACGACTTGCTTAACCTCTCCATGCCTCAATTTCCTTAATGGACAACAAAGGATAAAGTGGAGCTCATAGGCTTGTTGAGACAATGAAATACAACTACACAAATACAAGGGAGTTCTGGTGGCTTAGTGGAAAGGATGTGCACTGCCAATCCAAAGGCACAGGGATCAAATCCACCAGCTACTTTGAAGAAGAAAGAGAAGCAATCTTCTCATGTGCGATTTACTGTCTCTGAAAACCAGCTGGAGGGCCAGCTATGAAATGGTTCTAACTCAACAGTTTACAATGACAACAACAAACTCACATACATGCTTATTAATGCTTGGCACACATGAGATGATCCATTTACTTGTGCTTCTTCCTATTCCCTTTCTATTAACACAGACTTCAGACAACCCTTTGCTAGGTAATTTTCTATCTTAAGTAGCCTTAAGCAGACTTTCCTAATAATCGCCAGCAATACAGACAAAAGAAAAGCATTTACTAATTTTATACAGCTATTTTTAGAAGCCATTTCCTATGACTCTCGTCTCATTGTGCTGCAGCCACATTGTTCTTCTTGGCCTTTGACACATACCTGACATGTCTCTACCTCAGGGCCTTTGCATACATCATTCCCTTTGCCTGAAATGTGCTTACTACAGATACTGGTAACTGGTAGGATGTCCTCCCGAGTTACTTCAATGTCCCTGGCCACTATATTTGAGGCTGCAAAATTCTAACATCCCTTGTTCCACATCCTAAAACAGCATATAATTACTTTTTTTGGAGGGCTTGTTTAAAGACTATTAACAGAGATTGGCTCAGAATAGGTGCTCAGTAAATACTGACTTCACTTTGGATCTCACAACATTGACGGGGCAGCCAGGTCTGGAAACTTCCCCCTTGACCTGCTTCATTGATTGGTTTGGCCTGTGGCAAGATTTGGAGTCCTTGAGGGATACAGACACACATGGCTAACTGAAAGTTTGCCAGCTTGACTCTTCCCAGAGGTGCCTTAGAAGAAAAGCTTTTATTTAAAAACTTGTTGTTGTTGTGTACCATAGAGTTGAAAATGACCCATAGTTGACCCTTCGGCATGTTTTCAGAAACAGTAAATAGCATGAGAAGAGATTGCCCATCCTTCTCCCATGGAGTGAGAGGCTATTGGCCTTGAGCCATGTGCCTTCTCAGAATTTCAACGGGGCTTCTTGACACTAGGCCACTAGAGTCATTAAAAATCCAGTGTAGCACAATTTTACTCTGATAAAGACACAGTTGTCATGAATTGGAATTCACCTGAGGACAACTGTTCTTTTAAAGTCTTTATTATAAGGCTTCATGTCAACTAGTGTTTAGTGTTCACCAACTGTGAATCAGAAGCCAAACCTGGCCCACCATTTGATTTTGTAAATAAAGCTTTATTAGGACACAACTAATGATTTTTGTTTATGACCCGCTTAGCAGAGTTGAGTAGTTGTAATAGAGACCATATGGCCCAGAAAGCCACATATATTGTCTCTTCGTTTACTGAAAACATTTGCAAACTCCCGGCTTGGCAGTTAATGGAGTCAGTTCTACTATGAAAGCCAGAGTGTGTGGTGTCTGGGTGCTGCTGCGGGCCTTCGGGTGAGCCTTACACATTGAAATGTCCCCCTTGATCTCTTCAGCACTGGCCATATCATATCTGGGAAGGGATCCAGTGGGCTGCAGGGCGAGTTCTTACCTGAGCTGAGCACACCTGGCTGCTCGCAGGTGAGGCGACACCGGGCCCTTCGCCCTGAGCGCCAGAAGACGAGGGCAGGAAGTAGTGGTTGTTGGGGGACGGAGGCAAACTGATGTGCTGTGGGCTTTTGAGGGTCCCAAGTGGGGAATGCTGGGGCGAGCACTGCGGGCTGAGAAACGTGGACGACAGTGAGTTGGTCTGAGCTGGGGCGTCGGCGGCACAGTGCGTGCTGCCCAGCGGGGGGCGCTGTGGGGCTTCCCCCGCGCTCCCCGGGCCTTCGGGGCTGCTGCCAGGCCTTTTCCCCGCGGGCTGCTGGGCTGCAAAGGGGCAGCTGGAGACGGCGTCCTCCTGCTTGATGGGGGCGGCCAGGAAGGGCAGCGGCTTCCTGTCCGGGCAGTTGCTCCTCTTATGCTGCTGAAGCTGCAGCCGCAGCTCCTCCACGTGCCTCTGCTCCTGCTGCAGCTTCCAGGTGAGCTCATTGATCACCTTCTGCTTCTCCACCAGCATCTTGTCCTTCTCCGAGTCCAGCCCGTCCAGCTCGGGGGGCAGCGCGCCCCCGCCCAGGCCGCCCAGCAGGCTGTCCTCTGCGCACACGTGGGCCGGGGACGCGCGCAGGGGGAAGGCGGGGGACGCGTCGTTGAAGGTGTCCGGCAGGGACCCTGCCACCGAGAGGTCCGAGGAGGCCGGCGAGATGGGGGGGCTGGAGCTGGTGCTTCCGAAGTGGTAGAAGCCGTTGGACAGGGCGCTGGTGGACGGGGACGACTGGTAGGGAGGCAGGGTGCTGGTGGGGGTGACGGGGAAGGTGACGGTGGTGATGTCGCCGAAGTTGGGCACTGAGCTTCCAGAACAGTCCTGGAAGGGCCGTAGCCGTTCCATGAGGGCCGTTTTGGTGCCGGACACCGGCAAACCTCGGATGCGAAGCTGCTGTCTTAGTTCTGAGACCTGCAGGGAACAGGGCATTGTTAGTGTGCAAGATGTCTTCTTTTAGAATGGATGCCCTCTTGTTAAATTCGCATAAAAATATGACAGAGTCTTACATTATACAGTTTAGTTTTGAACCATTCTTTCTAGTTCCTTCCCTGGCTTCCACTCTATCTTTTAAACTTTACCTTTATCACGTTTCCACTTTGGGCATGTTGCCAGGAGTGACTGGTCCTTGGAGAAGGCCATCACGCTTGAAAGGGTGGAGGGGCAGCACAGGAGAGGAAGACACTGGATGAGATGGTTGGACCCAGTAACTGGGGTCATGAGGGTAGGTGTGTGGGAGACAGTGAGATGATCCAGGATAGAGGAGGATTCAGAAGTATTGTGCAGAGTGACGATGAGTCGCAGGCAACTCGAAGGCACATAACAACAATATGCTTCTGCTTCCGTAATTTCTTTTTTCAGTTGGAGTTGAGTCTATGCCAATGCATGTGTGTCAGAGTAGATCTGTGCTCCAAAGGGTTTTCTATGTCTGGGTTTTCAAAGAAGACAACCAGGCCTTTCGAGGTGTCCCTGAGAGGATTTGAACCTTCAAGCTTTCACTCTGGTTTACGTGTATCACCCACTAACTCCTCCAGAGCCAAGCTATTATTAGTTGCTGTTGAGTGCATTCAGACATAGGGCATCCTCAGATGTGGCAGAATTACAGAAATGTAGTGTTTGGGTAGACTAGAAGCCACGCCATCTATTGCCTTCCTGCTCCCATCTCAAATCCCTGCCTTCAGTTTATAGATGAGAAAACAGATACAGACCTAGGCTTAGACATAAGATCTCCAACCAATAATCCCCAGAGTGGAGATTCTGGTCTTCTGGCTACTTAGAAAAGAGCCCTTTCCGTACCCTCTCCTCCACTGGTCTTGGAGTCTGACCAGGCACAAGAATTGCTGGGAGATGGATGTACTGAGCTCACCCACGTGTCTCATTCTCTAGGTCGAAGAGCTCCATAAGGAGTTGTGGGGCTAACTCAAAGGTCATGCCTCCATGGTGGTTCAAATCCACCAGTTGTACTCCAAGAGAATGATGGGCAGTCTCTCCTCAGGCGATTCACAGACTTGGAAACTCACTGAAGGGTCAGCTGTGAGTCAGTTCTGATTTGACATCAGGTATAAGTTGGGACAGAAATGGCGCTGCTAACAAATTCCTTTGAGTTTCCAGTGCTGCTGGTCCCTGGATGACATTGAGAAACACTGCAGAGCCCTGTCCTATAGGGTCACTGTCAATCAGAATGGAGTGGGCAAGTTTGAGCATGCAAATGATGAAATTGTTGTTGTTATGTGCCATCGAGTTGCCTGCAACTCATAGCAACTCTATGTACCACTGCTCTGAAAGACTAATATTTATGTTCTGAGCTGAATGATTGGTTGTATATCTAACAGTCATTTATTGGGAGTTAACATTGTGGGTGATTAACAACATCAGCTCGAATCTTGGCGCTGTCTCTTACTGGCTCAGTTATCACTGCATGCTTCAATTGTAATACTTACACGTTTTTATGAGGATGAAAATGGCTTAAAATTTGTAAAGCTTTTGGAACAGTGTCTAGCAAAGAGTTAGTGCAATATAAAGTGTTGCTATTATTATTGTATTGATTTGTCTCTGTATTTCATACCTGTATTTTTTTATAAGGTTCAAAACTGGAAGCAATAGGAATATACAGAAATAAGGGAAGTAAACAGTCTTCTACGTCGTATAGCCCTGGTGTGTCCACTTGCTGTACAGAAGTAACCTGTGGTCTCTGTGAAGTTGAACACTGTGACACTGATGTGTCAAATGTGATAACGGTTACCCATGGTGGACAGTGTTTGGTGGCGCTCCCAGTTGAAATAAGCTTGGAAACAGGAGTGGCATCCACTTTCGTAATTAGCTTGCCTCCGGAAACCCTGTGAACCTGGAGAAAGGATGGAAGTCATGCACGCAAGTGTCGAGGACTTTTGTTCATAGAGTCGCTATGAGTTGCCTACGACTCGATGGTACTTAACAACAACAACAGAAATAGTTAAATTAATGGTAGTGCAGGCACGTGAAAGGAACCCTCGTGGCACAGTGGTTAAAACACTCAGCTGCTAGCCACAAAGGTTGACAGTTCAATCAGCCAGTCACTCTGTGGGACAGAGAGATGGCAGTCAACTTCTGTAAAGATTCATGGCCTTGGAGACCTCATGGTCAGTTCTGCCTGTCCTATAGGGTCACTCAATGTCAATCACAATAGACTCAACTCAATAAAGGATATTGAGCATGCAAATGATGAAATTGTTGTTTTTATGTGCCATTGAGTCGCCTGTGACTCACAGTGATCCTATCACAACTGCTCTGAACCTTTCCCTATCCTTAGCCAATCTCACTGACTCCAACACACCTACTCCCATTGCTCCAGTTTCTGTGTTAATCCTTCTCATCTGGGGTCTTTCTCTCCTGTGTCATCCCTCCACTGTTCCAAGCATGATGCCCTTCTCTAAGGACCAGTCCCTCCTGGCCACTTGCCCAAAGAATGTGAGATGTTGTGTTGTTGTTGATTACAGTCGAGTCAAGCATGACTCATAGCGACTCTATGAACAAAAACCCTAATGCCTTTCCATAACTGTCGTTATTTCACCAAGTTCATAGAGTTTCCAGAGGCATGTGGTTTAGGAAGTGGATACCGCTCCTGCTTCCAAACCTGTTTTACATCTGAGAGCTCCACCAAACACTTCACTTTGGGAAGCCATGCTGGTATTTGATACTTCAATGGCACAAAGTTCAGCATCCCAGCAACCCAGGCTATTTTATACAGCACATTGACGAAGAGTGATGTACAAAGTGGAAGAGTGCTCCTTCAGATATAACAACACTAGTTTAGCTTAGCAATGGTTAAGTATCAAGTTGAATACGACTGAGAGTAAGTTTTGCACAAAAGATTTAAACTCTGTCCTATGACTAACATAATTTCTGTATAGAACTCTGTTCTGTAACTACCATCATTTCTGTACATATAAAAGAGTATAGGGATTTTGTAGAGTAGAGCTTCAAAATCCTTGCCTCCAAGAAGAAACTTGGTTTTACCACCTCCAAGACATGATGATATTTACCATTTGACGATAGGGAATAATAAAAGGTACTTATAAGCTGTGGAAACTAGGTCAGGAGGTGATTGTGGAACAGACCACCAACTACTCATATGCAAATTCAAGCTGAAGCTGAGGAAAATTAAACCAAATCCACAGGAACCAAAATATGACTTTGAGTTCATCCCACCTGAATTTCAGAACCATTTCAGGAACAGGTTTGAGGCCTTGAACACTAATGAGTGAAGACCTAATGAGTTGTGAGAGGATGTCAAATGTATCATCCAAGAAGAGTGCAAACAGTCATTACAAAGACAGAAGAGAAAATAAAAGACCAAAATGGATGTCAGAAGAAACTCTGAAGATTGCACTGGAGCGCAGAGAAGCCAGAGCACAAGGAAGAATTCAAGATACTAAAGAGCTGAATAGACAATTCCAAAGGGCAGCACGGGATGACAAAGCAAAATATTACAATGAAATGTGCAAGGAACTGGAGTTGGAAAAGGGCCGAACTCGTTCGGCATTTCTTAAGCTCAAGGAACAGAAGAACAAATTCAAACCTCGAGTTGCTATAATCAAGGATGCTTTAGGGAGAATATTAAATGACCCAGGAAGTATTAAAAGAAGATGGAAAGAGTATACTGAGTCACTGTATCAAAAGGAATTGGCAGACACAGAAGAATTTAATTAAATAACATATGAGCAAGAGCCTATGGTGATGAAGGAAGAGGTACAAGCTGCTCTGAAGGAAATAGCAAAAAAATAAGGCCCCAGGAATAGATGGTATACCAATTGATGTTTTTCAGCTAACAGATGCTGCCCTGGATGTGCTCACCAAGTTGTGCCAAGAAATCTGGAGAAAACTACTAGGCCAACTGACTGGAAGAGATCTATATTTGTTCCCATCCCAAAGGAGGGTGACCCAACAGAGTGTGGAAACTACAGAACAATATCATTGATTTCAAATGCAAGCAAGATTCTACTGAAGATTATCCAAAAACGACTGGAACAGCCCATCAGCGGAGAACTGCCAGAAGTTCAGGCTGGGTTTAGAAGGGGTTGTGGTCCTAGGGATATTGTAGCTGATGTTAGATGGTTCTTGGCTGAAAGCAGAGAATACCAGAAGAATGTCTATCTGTGTTTCATTGATTATGCAAAGGTGTTTGACTGTGTGGATCATAACAAACTGTGGCTGACTCTGAGAAGAATGGAAATCCTAGAACACTTGATCATGCTAATGCAAAACCTATACTTGGACCAAGGAAACACTGCATGATTCAAAATTGGGAAAGGTGTACGCCAGGGGTGTGTCATATCTCCATACCTTTTCAACCTGTATGCAGAACAGATTATCCGAGAGGATGGGCTCTATGGGGAGAAGTGTGGCGTCAGGATTGGTAGAAAATCTATTAACAATCTGTGTTATGCAGATGACACAACACTGCTTGCTGAAACTGAGGAGGACCTGAAACGCTTGCTGCAGAGGATCAAGGACTGCAGCTTTCAATATGGATTGAGACTCAATGTCAAGAAGACAAAGATTCTTACCACTGGACCAGTTGGCAGCATCAGGATGGATGGTGAAGAGACTGAGATTGTTAACAACTTTAGTCGGCTTGGCTCCATGGTCAACACTCTTGGTACCAGTAGCCAGGAAATAAAAAACGTATTGTGATGGGAAAGTCTGCTATTAGGGACCTCTCCGGAGTACTGAAGAGCAGTGGTGTCACTCTGGAGATTAAGGTGCATCTAATACAGGCCATGATCTTTGCAATCACTTGTTATATGCATCAGAGAGTTGGACAAAAACTAAGAAGGACAGAAGGAGAATTGATGCCTTTGAGCTGTGGTGCTGGAGAAGAGTATTGAATGTACCCTGGACTGCCAAGTAAACAAACAGATTCATCCAGGAGAGGG